GTTCAGGTTCTCTGAGGTTTATTTGGGAAGGAACTCATGGCTTCAGATCAGCTGTTCAGGGGTACCCACAGAAGCCCAATTCAGGTTCTAGTCAGGTACACTCAGGCTTCTTTCACCACGTGGAGGCAAGATCCAAGCTCTCTCAGGCAGTCCCATGCGTTGTCAACCCTATGCCAGAGGGAGGCCGGGGTATGTGTGGAACTCAGCAGTCTCTGGAGGTCTGCTGAGGTCCAAGGCGCTACCCCAATGGAGGATTAAACCCACCCTCTCAGGCTGTCTGCTAGATCTCAGCCTTAGCCTACCAAAGCCAAATCTGCCCTAGGGCCCTTGGGAGGGGCCTCACAATATCCCAGGTAGGGGGATGGTATGGTGCAATTATAGGAAGCTTATGTGGAGGCAGAATGTGTGTGTGTGTGGGGGGGGGCTGTCAGGCATTCCCCTGGGTTCTCAGGCCCTCTGGTAGTTGGAGGCCAGAACCAGGCACTCTCTGGTTATCTCCTGAGCTCTGAGCCGCTACCCCGATGGAGGTTCGAATCCACCCTTTCAGGCCATCTCATAATTTGTTTCTAATGATACTTTACATGGAATTGTTTTCTCATTTTATTTTTGGTGTTCGCTGGTAGAACACAGAAATGCACTTTATTTCTGTAGATGATTCCTGTCCTTTTCTGTTTTGCACAACTCAACTTTAGTGTTTAGTTGATTTTCCTTGTCTCTACTATAATATCACCCCATCTGCAAGTGGACTGCCTTGTTCTTTTCTGAAGCAATGCTCCCCTTTCAATGCTTTTGGCTAAATGATGGAGCTGTGCCTCTAGAAGGAACCATGCTGGCAGCCATGCTGAGAAGGTGCATTCACCATGCTGCAGTGGCACAAGCTTCTTCAAAGTTTGGTCCAGTTAAATTGGGGCCCAGGAAATTTGTGAGGACAGCCCTCTGAGGTTCGCTCTGAGCCCAGAAGGGCTTTTTCAAGGTGGTTCTCTCTGGTACCCTAGCTGGTCTATGGTTTGGCTGTGACTTGTTATGGGCTATATTACAGTCTCCAATTCATATGGTGAAGTCCTAAGTCCCAGTATCTCAGGATGTGACTATATTTGAAGACAGAGTCTTCAAGAAGGTGATTCAAGTGCTTGAGGGTGGGTGCTTTTGTAATCTGACGGGTGTTATAAGAGGATACCTGGAACGCCCCCAAACACACAGTTCAAGAGAGCATGTACAGAGAAGACCACGTGGAGAAGCAGCCATCTATAAACGCAGGAGAGAAGACTTGGGGGCAAAAGGCACCGACTTCTTGGCCCTAGATTTTCAGCCTCCAGAACCGTGAGGTCTCTGCACGCTTGTTACAGTAGTCCTTGCACACTGATTCTGTCCACTTTCTGCGTGTCCCTTTGGGCTTGAACCTCACTGCTTCAAACTGAGGTAATTGTGAAAACTTCAGACTGCCCTTTCTCATGGACCACTTCTGGGAGTCTGGGCCAGCTCTGTGCTCCCATTAGAGTACCTACCTCTGATCTTTCAGGCCAGCCTCTTATCATGCAGCTTGTGCCCCTACAGCTGAGAGGGGAGGGACAGCAACTGACTAGACCCCCAAATTCTTGGCCTAGTATCTTCGGGTGGGAGGAGCCCTCACACTCACCTCAACTTGTCACATGGGTGGCAAGTGCTGTATGTCTCCCTTGGTGAGATATGGGGGCCCTGAGTTGGATGCTGGGGTCTCAGAAACCATGCTACTCTGCCCCCTACTCCCATTCCTGGAGGGTGGAGCTTCTGTGAGCCAAGCTGGGGCCAGGAGGGCAAGAGACATATGTCCTCTGGGAATTTTAGCACTTTCTGGGGAACAAATGTTTCTTCATTCCATGTGTACCTCAGACCCATCTCCGAAGATCTTTACTGTAGCCTGTGGCTTTACGTTTGTTTTGTCTTCCACCCTGACGTCTTTTCGGGTTTGCAGTCTTCTGAGACCCCTTTGTCTTCCCTCTGATATGGAGGGTCTCCTTAACTGGGAGAGAACAGCCTTTAAGAGCTCAGCTTGACCACGTGTGGCCTGAGCTCCTGCTCTTCCCTCAGCCTGTGTGTTGCCTCGGTGTGCCACCATCACGGTCTCTTCAATGCAGGCTTTCCCTTCTAAGCCCTTAGCCTCAACCGCACAGGAGGAGCCTCCCTTCCCTGCAACCCAGTGTGTGCTCTTAGCTTCTCGGGGTGTTTGGACGCTGGCAGGTCCAGGTACAGGGTCTGACAGCCTTTGCTACAGATGGTATTATGAGGTCTTCCTCGCACAGCTATGTGCACCAGGAGCGAACCAGGATTCCATGGCTGGTCATCAGCCACTGCATTCCCAGTCCATGTGCAAGACCCAGAAGTTTGGCAGGGCGGTGGCAGGCCCAGGCCCAGGCTGGGGGTCAGGGTACACTGAGGGTGCGAGGCGGGGGTAGGCAAGGGGCACCACAAGAGGAAGGCAGGGGGCAGTTGGGGAAGGCAGGTAGACTACCCTTAGGTCCTGGAAGCTGGCAGGGAGGATCAAGTTGGTCCCTGTTGGGGGCCCCTGCTGCTAAGGTTGTAGTCCTCCATGTCCGGATAGTTCTAAGGGGCACGGTGCTATATGGAAGGACTCCCTTTCTCAGCCGGGGCCTCCTGCTCTCTGCCTGACGTACCTGGAAAGTGCCACCAAGCCCCGAGCTCCAGAAGGCCCAGGCCGGTGGCATCATGCCACCAGAGAGAAGACAGACAGGGCAAGCCTCACTTTCCCTAGGGGCAGTTAACTATGAACCGTGAGCAGCAGACACAGCCCGGGAGGGAGGGTGGAGGCTGGGGGGAAGACATGGAAGGGACTGGACCGGGGAGGCCTGACCTTATTTGGAACATGACCTTTGGCATAGTTACCTGCAATAAAACTGCCCCCAGGTTTTTTCTATATGATAATTAGGCATTGCCCCATAGTCAGATGATAGGATCCCCCTGCCACATGTAAATAAAGCATACTGCGAGCACCTATCAGCTGAAGCTTTGGCTGCTGCCTCCACTCTATATTTTCCCTGACCCCCACTGGATAAACGGAGCTGTATCACTGAATCTGACTCTGCGGAACCCTCCTCCTCACTGGCCATCCTGACCCTGTTGGTCGCTACTGCTCCCTCTGTCCTCGTGGATCGGTGGCCAAAGGCTCTCGAGGGGAGGGAGAGACCCACAGGTCCCCTTCCCTAGGGGCTCAAGATGCGATTCACACGCCTGTGTGATTCCCAAGCCACCATCGACCCCACGTCCCCCACGGCCCGGGCAGCAATGACAAATCCTGGTCTCCCCTCACTCACCCACGCTTTATTTTGAAGCTGCAGCGTCCGCTCCTCTGAGAAGCCCTACGGTGTCCGCGGGTTCCCCGACATGACCACCTGCCTCCCAGCACACAGCAGCGGATGAAGGGCGGGGCTCGGGCAGCACACATGCGCCTCCTGTGCCTCCGCAGACCCTGCACCTCTATTTCAAGGTTGGTGGGACCTCCGAGGCCCCGTGAGGCAGCCACCACGTCTTTCACAGCCTTCGGGACCCTCTCCCTCCGCTGTGCACCCCCGGACCAGCTCCAGCCTCCCGCACCGCCCGTCCAGTCCCTTCCATGTCTTCCCCCCAGCCTCCACCCTCCCTCCTGGGCCGTGTCTGCTGCTCCGGTTCATCGTTAACTGCCCCTAGGGAAAGTGAGGCTTGCCCTGTCTGTCTTCTCTCTGGTCCTCGGGTATGATGTCACTGGCCTGGGCCTTCTGGAGCTCAGCACGGATGCCCGGTTCTATGAGAAAACCCGATGAAGCACGACAGGAATGAAACGCCCAGCACTTTGGGGGTATGTTGTTTCTGTCATGTCAATCGGCCTACCCCTTGCTTCCTGCTACCCTACGTGTATAAATACATCTTCGAAATCATCTCGATACTTGGGAGAGCGCAGAGGAAACTGCCTGGCTGCTACTTCACAGCACGGTGCGGACAACAGGAGACCACCAAGGTCAGAATAATGACTCCCCTGACAGGGTGTGGAGACGGTGCTGGATTCACATGGGTTCCCAGTCTCTAAGGGTCCCTACAAACACCTAAAAACTATAGTAAATTAAAGAGCTAGAGAGAGGGCTCGTCGATTAAAAGCACTGATTCCTTTTGCAGAGGACCTGCAGTCTTCAGCACCCACATGACCGCTAACAAGCCATCTGGCCTCCGCAGGCACTGCGTGCGTGTGGTGCACTTACATGAGTGCAGAACATTCACACATACAATAAAGAATTCACAATTAAAACACGGTGACATGAATATTCTAATTCCAATATGTAAAATACCTCGTTCTACAAAAAAAGGTCCCCACACGTTTCTTCAACCCTCAGACACGCCTTTCTTCATGGAAAGGTTTTTCATTTTTACAGTACATTGTTGACTGTAATACTCTGTAACAGAACTTGGATTTCATTTTCCTTCTGTCTGAGACCAGCAACTCCCCACTCTCTCCCTCTCTTCCCCAATTCCCTCCTTCACCAAAGTCTGGCAGACAATGGGAGGACACACCACTCAGGCAATGCTGTGTGGGCCTGGCTCTTCCAGCCCAGCTGCACCGGCCTGGCCACAGACATTTGCTCTCAGCCAGTTGGAGCTGGCCACTACTGTGCACCACGGGAATCAAACACACCCCTTCCTACCAGCTGCCTCGAGTGGTTTCTAACACCAGAACACGTGGGATCAGGACACTTCATTCAGAGTACTTACCGCTGCAATGTTTAGGAATTTCACAGCGGTCACCTGAGATTGTCGGGTACACAATAGCAACAGTGAAGGAGGTGGGGACCCTTGTGAAAGTCACCCTGCTTTAGTTGGCTGTGCCATCAAAGACCACTTCCCCACCCATAGAAAAACTGTCCAACGCAGGAGTGACAACGTGGCATTTTGTAATGAAGGAGTGACAGATGGAAACGGGAGAGGAAGGCTGTCATTACAAATATAAACTTTGTCAGCACTCTGAAAACAATAGCAAATACACTTAAATAGATACAAAGTTTATTAAAAATAGGTTGCAACTGAAATACAGTAGAAATGGAAAACTACAGCAGTTTGGATGCTCTCCCCATAGTAACGCACGCTATGAAACGTGTCCGACAGATTCACATTTGACCTCACTGTCTACTTCACTATGGGTTTTACAAGCATACGCGCAAACGTCCCCATATGCAGATGTTCAGATACCTGCAGCTTCCCGTGTGGAGCAGCAGCAACCTGCATCATCTTCTCTCTGGGGAGGAGTGGCCACGCCGCCCACAGGCTGCCAGTGCTCTCTAGACACCTCAAGGAGCTTGCACTTCCTAGGCAAGGCAAGCATGCAAATCCTTCATCAACTCTTGGGACCATTCAACTCTCTTACAGAGGAAACGGTAAAGGCACACTTTCAAAGAGCTTCGACGCCTGATAGGCATAAAAAATATTTACACTGCGATTTTAATGATCATACAATTCTTATTAAAAGTGGTTTCCAGGGTGGCAGAAGCCTCTGCTCTTCCACTTGAAAGTGCGTAGTTTCCCGACATACAGGTCTGTAAGAGAATGGTATGGTACAAAAAGATCATCTGGACCCACATCAGGGCTCTGTCAAGTCCGAAGTGTACTTGAAATCAAAGTCACCTTTCTAACATCATATAGTATAAACAAACTGAGGTCTGCTTCCCACCAACATTAACTACATACCCACAGCAGGAGGAATGAGAGTGCTAATGAATAATTCACAAAATTAAATAACTATTATCCTGTAGAAGAAATACAGCTTGAACTGCCATGAGCTCTTGTTGTAATATTTAAGTTACAGATGGCACACAATTGAATTCCTTTCTTTTCTGAAAGTGTATCTAATGTAAATCTCCTCCTTTTTACCAAATTTAAGATTTCTGAGATAGTTATGTTTAACTGTCACCTCTGAATTTCCCATTCTTCTCAAATATTTGTTATCCTAGTCATATGAACATTGTTTAGCTTGAGAGCTCATTTATCTTTCACAGATCCTTTGGAATATCTGAAAAACCAGATAACTTTCTAACATAACTTCTGTCTTCAATTTTCACCAATGATTTATTAGTATAATAAGAATTTGGTATTTATAAAAATAAAATCCCGTAAGATTAAATCCTCAAAATTTTCTCAAGAATTTTCAAAACTGAGTATTAGATATATAATCAGATACAGAATTGGTCAGGAGGCTCACATTTATCAGATGTGCATCCTGCATACAGAAAGCTCCATCTAGCCACCTCATGCACCTCTAGAAGGTTCCATGGGGCATTTGCCCTGGGGACTTGGGAGAAAGAGGCTCCAGGCGGAGTCCTCTCCTGCAGACAGGCTCCACCAGAGTACGCCATGGTCTGGGTGGCTTAGTCACCACTGTTTCATAGCCAAAATGAAGCTGAGGAGGAACAGAAATAGAATCTCTTTCTAGTTGTCCTCAGACAATCATGGGAGAAGACAGGGCAGAGGAAACACGCCATGTTCCCCCCTCCGCCCCCCACTCTTCTGCCCCATGAGCACAGGACTCCCAAAAGAGGTTAACAAAAATGAGACCTTCACGTGAGTCTGACCACTAAGAATCAGGCGGGTTTAAATTATACGATAATTTCTTCGTAGAATAAGATTTCTTGGAATTGGAACATCTCTAGATCACAGCCATTTTAGAAACAGAAATTAGAAATCACTCAGAAACAACCGCTCCTTCCTTTTCAGGCTCACCCCACCCCCACCACCCAGGGCAGAGCTGTGGGAGCACAGCTGCCCTCTTCCTCTCTCTTCTTACTTGGTATTCAGTTCATTCTCAAGCTCTGTTAATTTACGAGAAGCTTTTACTCTGTCAGACACATCTTGGCCTTGTGAGAAGAGGCGCTGACGCTCTTTGAATGTCAGGTTTTCAGGGGCTCCAGAGCTTCCAGGTAAGTCTGCATCTTGGCTGGACAAGAGGGAAATCCCAAAGATTACTCATCGAAATACAAACAACTGCCTAAAATTAGATCACTTTGCCTATTGTCAGTTAATTCGAAGTTTTGGCCACAGTTTTCACTATGCCTCACAATTATATTTATTGGGCTGAGACAGAACTATCTCTCTACTATGTCTGAACACACTTTAAAAAGCCCAAGTATTGCTCATGTAACTAAATGTGAATTGATGAAGAGGACAACCATGGTGACACAGCCTGTAATCAGCCTGGGCCAAACAGACTCAGACTATAAAAAACAAAACAGTAGTAACATAAATCAAAAATACCCATTTAGAAAAAGGGGCAAAATGTTCTCTCACAATAACTTTTAAAAACTAATAAGGGTACAAGAGATGGCTTGATGGTTAATCAGAGTTTATGTAAACGCTCGGTGGGCATGGTAGCGACCTTTAAATCCAGCCTCAGAGGTAGAGACAAGATCCTGCATACACACACAAGCATACCACCCATACACACAAAAAATGGAAAACGAAAAGCAATAGCAAAAGCCTAATGCTTTCAACTTCACAAGCGGAAATTTCTTCCCAACAAAACAAATTTAATTAATGGGGGTACAGTTTAAAATACAACATATTCACAAATCATCCATGCACTTGAGGGGTGTCCACAGCACCCATTAGTCCACCTCGATGATCGAAGAGTAGAGAGCAGCAAGGAATACACTGTCCAGCTAAATCCAGGGAGGACAGTGTGTGGCAGCAGGAAGCCCACAGTCAGGCCTGGCCTCATGGCTGAGACGCTCCCTTGGCCGGGGCCCTAAAGTTTCCACCTTCTCTTGGAAGAACGCTACTGACTCCAGCATTCTGACCACAGTAAAGCCAGTATCACTGTCTCCAAACAGAACTATGTTAGCAACATAAACGTTAAAGTCTACATGTGCAGAGTATGGGGATCTTTGTAATCTCAGCACTAGGGAGGACTAAGGCAGGGGACTACCACAAGTTCTAGATCTACAGAGGGAGACCCTGTCTCAAAATACACCCCCACCCCCCAAAAAAAACCCTAAAGCTCAGATAAGTTTGTACACTGGAGCACCTGATGAAGCCTGGCACCATTCAGCAATGCCATGCAAATGAGAACAGCCAGCAAAGCGCAGGCCCAGCCCAACCCTGAAGTACCTTCTAATGTGATTCTCTCTTGGATCCCGAGGAACATCATGGGCTCCTGTAGCTGTTCCAGCAGATCCCATGTGAGAGTGTGGTCCTTTCCATGAAAGAAAAAATTCCAAGTTAAAGTCCTGATTATCTCCAAAACATACTCATGATAAAGACACAATGTCTACAGAACAATGAGACACCTTGAATTACTGAGAAAATGAGGGAGCAAGGCTCTTCATATGGTGAAAGATTCACCAATTTGAAATTCATATTAGTGGCTAAGTAATCCAATCACTACATTCAATAACTGGCATTGTGCCTTCTATTATTAGAATGGAAAAAACTTTTATTATTAGAATGGAAAAAAGTGGATACTACATGTTAAAAAAGGGGGGGGTTCAAATCACACATGATGCATAATCACCACAAACACAGAAAACCCACCAAAGATTTAGTTAAATGGGAGAATCAGCAAAACTTTTTAGACATACTTCTGACATTGCAGAATTTTCATGCCAAAAAAAAATCACTGACAGCAGCTGTGCCCCAAAGATAAAAGATTAGCGCAAAGATAAATGGCATAATTATTAAAAACAAAATAAAGCTTTTAAACAAATGAGCTCCTCAAAGTAAACCCCTAGCCTCCCATACTGCATGCTGATGTAAAATCTCTGACAAAACAAAGTAGTTGGGGAGTATCCTCTGGTCTCAGTCTGCACTGGGTCTGCCTCCTTCCAACAAGAAGCTAGGGCTGAGCCTGATGCCCACCATCAGCCAACATTTGCCCCAAGACATTAAGGGGCTGTTCACGATCAAAAGAGAGGATGTAGGTAAAGGTTGTATACGTATCCAAATACATGATAATACCATCATGAATAATGCATCAGGATTATTGTAGTATCCACTGTAACTAATTAAAAGATAAAGGAGACTTGCATTTGAAAAACCTGCTTTTAACAGGATAGAGTACAGAAAGCTCAAAATTGTCAGCAAACATAGACAAGACTGGATAAAAAAGGCCACAAAATTGTTGCTCTTTTCACATTAAAACATTCTACTTTACCCAAGTTCCAGGAAGATGAATTTTTTTCCATATAAAGAGCCTGTGGGCAGAATTTCTTGGGCTATCGGGGCAGAACTTAGGCTTCCTAAGTCACCTCAGAGGGTGTCACCCCAGCAAAGACTCAAAAGCCCAGCAGCAGTGCTTCTACCTCCTGCAGGGGGCGCTCACATGGCTGATCTGCACGCCTGGTTCCGATGTCCAACCTCTCTTAATTTTGTCTGCTATTAAAACACTGCTTTGTGCTTTTGAGCTTTGTTCAGAGTGATATTGACTTCTTCCACTGGCAAAAAACAGTTCTTCAAATTTTCCAGAGCTTTTAGTTTGTTGTAGTATCAAAAATTTGCAGCTGACTATATAAATTACAAGTAATTTCCAAAGAGCTTGAGTAACACAAACACATCATTAAAATGCACTGCTGTTGGAATTCAGTCTTACTCACTCTGATCAACTTTGAGTTCTGTGTTTTTCGTGACCCAGTGAAGAGGCCAAAACCCTCTGTAGAAGCGTGCTTCACCAGAGAAAAGGGTGGACATGGCATATGAGGGAGATGAAGGGAGGACAAGGCCAGATGTCCCTGCACATGCTGCAGACAGTTTCAAAGTGGTACTTGAGGTGTGACATAAAGGGAGGTTACGAGTATGACTTGGGGCCAAAGTGGCTAGAAGCAATTCCTAACGATACTACTAGACCATCAAGTGTGTCTTAATACTCCTGAAAATTTGTACAATCTAGCTATAATTTATTGCTATTCCATAAATATCTTGAAAAAGCAACAAATTCTCAATATTTATATAAATTTTACAAAAAGACTGAATTTTGGCTTTCAGAGTAACTCAATCAAAATATTATTACATATCACGCCTTCAAATAAGTTAAAGGTCTGACAGGTGGGAAAAAGAATGCTGGTAAAAGCTCTTTGTCAAGTGGGTATGAGACAACAGAGACTTAGAAAGTCAACCACTCTCAGAACTACTGAGTTCACACACTGTGCCACGTCATGAAGAATTATGGAGACACTCATGTTCACTAAAACCACACTGCACTAGGTGTGGCATCAGAATTCCATTTCATTATAGCAAATTATAGTGGGCTGAAATCTGAATCTAATTTAGCTGCATCTTCAACATAGATTCAGTGCCCGCGTCATCAAGTCATTAACAGAGCAAGTGGGCAGTGACCTCTGAATGCTGGCAAACAGGGGAGCCCCTGAACTCAGCAATCAACTGGAAGGGATTCAGTGAACAGCAGCTGCAAGCTTAGAAAGCTTGGCTGCTGGCACTGTGAGGTGGGAGAGACTAAGAAAATGGAAGGACGTACAGCAGCGAGGGGCAGAGGGCCAACTTCAGGACTAGGTCTCTGGGCAAGAGCTATGTTAAGACTGTGAGGCCATCCTACCCAGCAGTGCAGCAGATGCTCCCCCACTGCACCAGCTGCCACAAAGGCAATGGGTCACTGCATAGGCTACATTACCTTGAAGCAAATATGCTACTCACAGGACGTGATGGAAACTTTAAAATGTAGCTGAATACTTGGGTACTCTGTCTTTAGAGACACTGGTATATCTGAGAAGGCACTTGCTTGACCAAAGGTAAGAATCACTGAAGAGGTACAGAAAGAAAGCCAAGACCAACAGTACTTCAAGTGATTTGGTGATAATCGGAGAAGGGCTGACTACTGTCAGTGATCAGAGATGGCACTTCTTAAAGTCTAAGAGAAATCGGAGCATCGAGGCATTCATTCACAGAGCATTAGCACAGAATCACAATCAGAGGCAGAGGGAGACCACACACTGAGAGTGATCAAGTAAAACCCAATGCCAAGGCAGGCAAGGTCTCAACGGACCACACCAAGTGGCAGGGGACAGAGATTCCAGGCTCCAATCATCAAGCCAAGAGGTCTGATTCGCCACTCCCTCTTTACCTCTACCTTTCCGGTGGCCAGGACCGCAGAAACTTGGTTTATTTGGAGGGGGTGGGGGCTGGCCTGCTTTGGGAGCAGTACTGTTGGCTTTGGTCAAGTGTGACTGGAATGAGCTGGAGAGAAAGATGCCATCGGAGGCCGGGCGAGGCTGGCAGAGGGGCTGCCATGGCTTAAGAGTAGCAGGAGGGAGGTGCCCATGAGACTTCCTTGTGCTGGAGTACTTATCCTGACCTGCTAAGCTGCAGTCCTCCTCCTCCTCCTCCTCCTCATACGCAACAAACTTGGCAGTGAACAGCGAGTCTGGAGAGAGGACCTGGGTTTTGAGGTAGGAGGCATTCCGCTGAGGCGGGGGAGGAGGGGCGCTGGGTGCTGGGGACGGGGATGGGGGCTCGTAGTCCCGAGGCAGGGGAGGTCGGCTCAGCCCGGGCTCCTCGGTCTCCAGCAACCTTCTTGCTGCCTCGTCATGCTGTCTACGCCTCTCGGCTTCCAGGCGGCTGTAATACCCTTCTTCCTGTCGCCTCTGCAGGCGGGGACAGACAAGAGTGCAAAAGGTCAAGGGTCAGTGGGGTCAGCTGACCCTCTGGGCCTTCACGAGGAATAACAGATGCACTGACCATCACTCCCCATCACCACAATAACCACATGTCCATAGGACAACACAATGTCACAATCACTGTGACAGACAAAGCAGGTCAACCCACAACTTGTCTGGAGACTCATGCGCACACCCACAGGGCTCCACACTGTTTGCTACCAACTGCCCAGAGGCACTGGACGAGTCAAGTCTGAGGAGCCCTCGGTCATGCATTTGGACTCTTGACCCTCTGCCTTCTTCCCGCCTCCTTTTCTTCAGTTTCCTTCCTCTTCTGTTCTGGCAGGATGTTAACTTACCTGCTTCTGCTGTGTTCCAATAGGAACCAAACGAAGTAAGAAACACCACTCATTTCCCCAAAGCCATACTCTAACAAGTATGCTTTGCATAGTTAATTGATATTTTAAATCCTAATGAACTCTCTGAAGAACAGAAAATGAGCGCCAAGCATTAACAGTGACAGCAGATATATTCTGACACGTATGGTACATTTTTCTGACATACATCTGCACAAACCACAGTTGACAGCATTGAAGTTCTTTTAACATTTAAAAAGGTAACAACACAGTTTCGTTAAAGATTGACAAGAGTTTTAGAGCATGAGAAGAAAGTAAATACGAGAAGGGCTGAAAGAGCAAATAAAATAATTTGCCTTGACTTGAGCAAATGCTTAATGCCAGGAAACCAAGTACAGTGAGTCTTAAATTCATCCAATCAAGGAGAGCTAACATCAGAGACCCTGCCGGCATGACACATTCTGCTGCGTTCGTTCCCTGCTCCCTCTCTAGCCGCACACTAGCACACACAGTAAACACAACAGTCCCTGCGCCACCTCCCGAGAAAGCAAAGGAAGACTCGAGACCAGCCCCAGCGTTACCCTGGACCCAATTTCCTGCTTTATTTTCTTGCTCTATGCTGTAAAATCCTGAAAGAAAGATATTTTTATCTTCTTGACTATTCAAAGTCCGTTATTTTCTTAGGTTGAGTAATCAACTACAATGACTTCTGTGGCTTTTAAGTGGCACTGTCAAGAATCTTGAAATTACATAAAGAACAGTTGCTTGACAACACTGTAGGGAGACACCAAATCCCTTTAGTTATACCAAGAGCAGATACAATTAAATGACCACGGTGACTTGACCCATAA